ACCTCCAAAAGTCGCAAATATTCTGAAAAGGAGTTAGAAATTATCACCACGTTATCAGCACATGATATTTGGTGCGAGTTCTGGACCAAGGATAGTGTCAATGATTCTCTGCCAGGTTGCAGGAGCATTAGATAAGCCAAATGGCATCCGACAGAATTGGAAGAGTCCTCTGCCAGGGACAGTAACTGCAGTGTACTCCTTGGAAGATGTACTCAAAGGTACCTGCCAAAATGCTGACTTAATATCGATGGAGCTGATATATCGAGTCTCCCTTAATCGATCTAAAATGGTTGAAATATATGGAAGAGGATATGCGTCCTTTTTTGTATATTTATTGACCTGTCTAAAATCAATGCAATATCTGAAGGATCCATCCTTTTTCCGAGAAAGGCACACAGGACTAGACCAAGGACTACTAGAACGCTCAATGACTCCTAACTTCAACATTTCCTCAACTTCGTCATCTATAAACTTTTGTTTGAAGGGAGAGACAGGGTTGTTTTATGGGTCTTGTACCAGGATCTATAATGATTCCATGCTCAGCTACCTTGCAGCAACCGAGTCCAGTACCCATCTCTGCAATTTTCTGCTCTACCAGGGTGTCTAAAGCAGATCGTTCTGACGGAGTCAAATTGTCTCTATCTTCGATAGACAAAATATCAGTCTCACAAGTAGACTCAGAAAATTGCCAAACGTCTAAGATCTGTGATAATTTTCATGGTTTTCCAGAAGTCTATTCCAAGAATAATTTTATGTAAAAAGTTCAGGAAGTACGATGACATCAATAATGTGAGTTTTGTCCATTAAGGTTATGGGTGTCTGAATGTAACACGTACTTGTGCAAGTTTGGCCATTAGCCACAGTGCAAGAATTTTCTTGTTTTACCAACTTCAAACATAAGCTCAAAAGTGTCATATCCAGGCAACCCAACCAGAGTACGACTAGCACCTGAGTCAAGTAGACCTAATCTAGGATATCGCAATATTTTAATTTCAAGGTATGGACGCTGATCACCTTGCGCATGTGATACAATGTAGTCAAGAAGGAGCCTATTACCAAAATCATCAAGGTTATTGGTCGCTGGGGTGTGTAGGAAAGAAATCTCGCGACCTAATGATTTCCCCTGGGACGTTGCCCGAGTTACCACATTTAGGACAATTCCTTACTGTGACGTTTGGGTTACCACATCGATAGCAATGGGTTTTCCTAGGGTTAGGACAATTTCTGTTTAAATGACCGGATTTCTGGCAATTCCAACCAATTAAATTGGGTGAATTACTTGGTGGTCTTGACCTTTGAGGACCATTGTTGGGTAAATCTACTCTGTCAATGCCAAAGGAATCTGTATCGTTGTTCAAGACAGAATTCGTCAAATCGGAGTTAGGTTGATCGACCCCAACAAAAGCAAAATCGGGTTCTGCAAATTGTTGACGTTTTCTGGAAGGTGGAACATAATGTTCAACTCTATATTTCTTTGTCTCCAGTTTAAGACATTCACGTTCTAATTCTTTAAGTGAGTTAACAACTGGGAATTGAGTTGTGTAGAAAGATGATAAATTCCGGGACAAAATTTCCAATTGGGTTTCAGGAGTCAATCCATCGTAACGTCTAAACAAGGCCTGTATACAAGACGAGTAGTCTACAATGCTTTCTGAGGTATCTTGGGTTTGCTCTAAAATCTCTTTAAAACGACTAGCACAACAATCAGGTGGTTCAAAGTGAAGACGAAGCAACTCACACAAGGTTTTCCACGTATCAAATCTGTCACGGTTCGCCCTATACCAATTCAAGGCTTTACCTGTAAAAAAAATCTATAGCACTATCAAAAAGTTGGTGTTCTGTGACATAACGGGATTTACTTACTTCGGCCACTCTCTCTAGGGAATAGGCATGATGACAGATTTTGAAAAACTATCCTATAATGTACGGAAATGTATATTATTTATAATGAATAACATATTTCTGCAGATAATAAAGGTTTTAGTAGAAAAAATTACATCTTAGTTTTTATATTTAAAACTCGCGCGAAAACGCTTTTCAGTGTCATGGCGTCAATAGTGAGGTCACGTTTGAGTAAACGAAACCTAAACGCTCATTGAAAATTTGAAAAATTTGGATATTTTGTGTATTTAAATATGAATTTCAAAATGTACAAGTGGTGTGCGGTTTCTCAGTGTGATAGCACATCAATAAAAACTCCTGAAAAGTTATTTACGATCGTTCCACAAAATGAAACGATAAGGGACAAGTAGCTTAAACTTGCAAGGCAAGATTCAATAGCAATATTGCCTATTACTTACCTTTATTTTTGTGCAAATCATTTCAACGCAAGTATTTTATTTTTCGTAGATTCTAAAATAGTATTTAGTACCTATGTATCTTGTTTGAGGTCTAAATTCAATATAAAAAACCAATCTTTTTTGAGGTTAGGTTTCACCTTGCACCACCGCTTTCTTAAAGGTATTTTATTTTTTGGATTAATTTAATTAATATTTTATCACCTAAATTATAATAATTTTTAAATATTATTGTATTAATAATGTATTTAGATGAAAGTTTTACCATTTCTTGATTCTTTTCTGCTGAACAAAAGTCCTTATTTGATGGTGAAAACTCTCCCAGCATCAACATAAATTAACACTGTTTACCGTAAATCCTTGTGCCATGACGTTATTTCACTTTTGATTCAATATTCGGTATAAACAACACACGGTATATACAAAATTGAATCGCAAATAGAATCACAAGAATCACGGAAAACCAGTCGTTTGTGCTAGTTTACTCAAAAGTGACGTCATTCGTTCTGATTGGTGTTTAACATAATATGGCGGACCTCCGTATTTTGTAGTTTTATTTTATCAAAATAATTATCAATCTGGTTCTTAATAAGAAAATAAATGCCTGTTTCGTATTCCATGAGTCAAGTTTCATCAAATAAAAACATAATTTAACTGATTTTAAATTACTGTCATCATGCCTATTATGTAGTGACAATTTAGAGTCACCAGCAAATTTGAGATTCTACTTTTCTAGATTTGGAAATATAAAACTATTTGGAAAAATTGGTAGTTGTGGAGTGAATCGGTTGGTAGAGTTATGTACCGGAGAAGACACATGAAATTCATCAGCGTCGAGCTGTCGACGAAGTTCAGAATCAGCTTTAACAACAGTCTCTAAATAATCCAAAGCAGCCAAAACGTCAATGAGGAATTCAGTCCTCTCAGACCGTTCTTCTGTTGACAAAATATAGAGTCAGGAATACGTTTTACCCGCTCAAGCAAATGAACTAACCTTGATTGTGTGGAAATGAATTTATTTTGACTTGCCTCACCTGATATGGTGGGAATGACAGTATTTAGCTTCATAAAGAAATTGCCGAATTATAAACCTTCTCGTCACCAAAGTTAAGGGAATATGGGGCAAAAAAACATGCGCCAGACTTTTGGTCGAAATATAGACCTTAATTCGTCCACAGTCTTGGTATCACTAACTGAGACACCTCGGACAATAATCTCATGAATTTGCATTTCCTTTTTTAGGTACGAGATAGTCATCTTGTAATACATTTTGTTTAGCAATCAATACGTTAAGTAATCAACAATAACAATAAAGATAATTGGCTATTATACACAGGGGTTCGAAGTATCTGTTGCTCAAAAATAATTTAAAAAAAGTTCAAAGATAGAAATTGAAATTTGATTCTAAGCACTTAAAACAGCCAAAAGAAAATGAATTAAAAAAAATAGTCTTTTAAAGAAACGGCGGCCCCACGTTGGGCGCCAATTAATTTGCCTGTTTGTGAAACTGGCCCTGAGTATCTGATTTGCTTTTTCATATAAATTTTTCCAGAAGTTCTTTCATTGATTTTCTTGAATGACGGAACATTTTTTCCTGTGGAGTAGAATTAGTAGTTGTACATAAAAGAGACATAATCGAATGCAATGCATCTTCTAAAACCGTTTCCCAGTGTTGAATTCCCAAAAAACTAATAAAATACGACGAACAAACATTTTTCAAAGCACCCGCGATGACGTTTTCTTGATCGCAACTCTAGAGTTATTACCTTCCAAATTATGCCGTTAAACTGTTCTATTTGACCATTGCCTTCTGGACTATAAGGTGTCCATCTGCTTGTTGCTATTCCTTTTGAGAGAAGATGATTTTGAAACTCATTTGACAAATGAAGACCCTTGATCTGTGTGATTGTGTGTGAAAGTGAAAAATATGTTGCTTAGACATACACACTGTCTCAGAAGTCATATCATGACATGCTGAGGCGAATGGAAAGGCGGGAATACTCGTGAACGATATTAAGTATATATTTGTTCCTTGAATTAGATGGGAGAGGGTCTTTGAAGTATGGAGATATTGTCTCGAAAGCCGAAGTTGCTTTCACGAGCGATCCTCACCCAGTTCACCATTCTAGTGATTCCAGGATGACGTAAAGCTTGATGTAAATCGAATAACGTTTTATGACTATTTGAACCACATACTCGAGAGAATGTATCAGCTACTACGTTTTCTCATCCTGGTCTATATATTATATCATAGCTGTAAACATGATAGTTCGAGTCGCCATATTAGATTCATCTCATTTTTTATTTTGTTACTGTGTTTGATATTGAACATAAAAGATACAGATTTTTGTTTAGTAATCAGCTGAAAATGTCTCCATTCTTTAATCACTTCGACTATGGAATAAGCTTCTTTCTCAACTGATGAATCATTTTGTTCACGTGTCTCGAGAAAAATGCAGCTGACCTTCCTGCTTCACTTAAACCTGCTAAACACATTTTGTTATGACTTCAATAATTCATCCGAAAAAATATTAAGAATGTTTATGTGGGTTTTTGCCAATTAAATGATTGATAACAAATCTGTGTTTGACTTTATCGAGGTTTGGTTTTTGTTAATTAAATTAGTTTTTTTTTACAATCGGCTAAAAATTCATTCACCGCCGGCAAAACTGTCGAGGCCAAACAGCAAATAATTGAAGAGAAGACATTTTAATATTGAAAATATATTTCGACCATACTCCTTAATTAAAATCTGATAAAAATCTAGAATCTAGTTTCAATCAAAATTGACTTTCCTAAAATTCCCATAATAACCAAGAATTTCGTCATTTTGCAGTTTGTCCGGTCTTAAAGATTCGTCGACGGTTAGTTTCTCCAGTTCCAGAAAGCGATCTTTGTGAAGTTCATATTGTTGATCCAACATGTCTAAGGTTCAATTAATAGTATTACTAGAGTACCAAAAGACTTTTAGAAAACTTTAATACCATTTATTTCATCTAGGGACTTTTCTTCACCTCCTATATCTCTAGGCATTCGTTCCTTGCCGAATATTTCAAATAAAATTTCATTACCAGTATGTATTTGGAGCTAAACAAAATAATAATTGATATATTTATTGAGTATATTCTAAATCATAATAACTCACCCGTTCTCTTAATTTTGGAATGAGAGTTGGTTTCAGCACTGTGTTGAAAAAGTTTTCCAAATACGCTGGTAAGTTTACCGCATACAGTGACGCTATTCGAGTGGAAAATACTTTCTGGAAATTATGTAAATTGAATAAGCAATTATCTTAGCGAAAATTGTATTTAACTCCTAATTTAGATTTTCTTGGAAAAAACATTATCATCATGAACCTTCAACCTGAAAAGTTGATCTAGGAATTCATGAAAACATTTTAAACAAGACTTGAAATAAAAGAAAACTATAGTGATAGTTGAAAGCTCCTAGAACATAAACCTACTACTTTAGTGTATTAAGAAAAACATGCCCAAAGCTCATGGATCTACCTAAATAAATAAATAACTTCTTACTTCCATAACAATCTGAGATTTCCTTAAAACCATAAGACTTGCCTTAGCAGCATGTCCCAATTTCAAGCATTCACAATCGAAAATGTAATGCATACGATATGACGAGTCATTTTCAGCAATCAATGTCAATAATTGTATAAACTGGACTCCCATATGCTCATGAATAAAATATTTCGGATCTGCATACTTCGGATTCAACTTTTGGTATATAATTCTTACGTGGTCGTCTGCTAATTTTGGAAGTGGAACCATATACCTAAAAAAACCGTGCTTCGGAAATATAATACATACAGGGTGTTTCATGAACATCGAAACAGAGGCGTTTTAGGTTATTTTAAGGTCGATTCAAAAAAAACCGTTCGGACACATCATCGGTATTTCGCTAGGGTGCACCCCTCTTTTTAAGATTGGGAAGATGGGCTGGGTGATACCTTGTTTTAAAGGTATTTCTATTCTCGTCACAACTACGTATTTTTTTTATTTTTTTTTTTGAAAATCGAATGATTAGTTCTCAAGATATTGTAGCACAAAAATTAACCTTTAAAGTGTTTTAAATCTAAATTTGAATAAATAAACCCTAATAGGCCTAGGTACAGTAAGACACCCTTAAGGAATGCGGCCAGCGCAACAAAGTGCTCGCGGCTACTCAGTCAGTGTGGAAGTAGTTTCATTATATAGTTTTAGCTTTATAGGGCGCCACTGGCTTACAAAATAAAATCCGCGGACTTAAACCCGAAAGTCCCTGATCTCCAAAATTCCTTCAAAGATGTCCCACCTGATGTACCTATCCTTCAAAACAACTTTACCTTAGTTTGGTTGAGGTCAGTAGGGGTAAAATAATAGTCAAATATAAAAACAATGAGTTTAAATATATTTAATATGTTCTGGAGGGTATGTTTAGAACTGCAATGGCATTCCAAAAGGCCAATAGAAGGCAATATATATACTACAGTATATAATATTAAATGTAATTGTCAAAATTACCAAAAGGTAGCAAAGACCAATTTGTATTGGTCTTATAAAAGACACTCCAATAATTCAAGATTTACCAATAAATGTTTGACCACCTTACTCCAATGAGAGTAAAAGAGAACAATTAAGGAATAAAAAGATTAATAATATCAAATAAAACTTGTGCACGCTTAAACCATGGTATACCGGGGCGACTTTGTACAAAAATTACACCCTAAATATAGTAAATTAATATTCATGGGTACAGTACCTACACCCATTGTAATAATTGTAATAATGAAGGCGGTAAAACTAACTTGGAAATGTACCAAGTTAAATATGAGAAATACTATTAATAATAATTAAAAAAAAAGAAACGTTAATAAATCAACGGGTACATCGTACATCATCCCCTTGTGGTCCTCCCTGTAGTCTAAACATCCATTTCCATTACTGCCTCACAGACCTGATAACAGACCCCATCAACTTCTTTTGACTTCCCTTCTTGAATAGGGTAAATTTCGGTTTCAAGTTCAGTGTTGTGGGTACTCTGACACCTCACCTTCGAAACGTTAGCAAAAAGTCGAAACGGAAAAACCCTATGGAAAAGTTAGACCTAAAACCTTGGTTACAATTCGGGCTCTTAGTTGAACAAAACGTGCTCGCTTTTCGCACCGACAATTCAACAAAATGGCGTAGATTTTCGTCTCCAGAAAATTCTGAGTGGCTGGCTTACAAATACGGGGACTTACGACCAAACCCATGTTTTCACCCCAAAACCAATTAAGCTATCACTTGAGTTCCCAACGGCTCTAAAATCTCACAAAGGTGGATGTTCCAAAGAACGCAGCAAAGAGGACCGCCGGTAAAATCTGCCAACAACTTGTTGCTTGCTCAACGTGCGAATTTAAAGAAAACGACCCTATTTTCGGCAATTCACCAGGTGATCTCAGATAAGAATTTTCCCAGAATTCTAGGTGTTCCAAGATACCCCCTGGTGCCAGATTTCCGGTCTTGACCAGGAAAACGAGACAATCAGCTTGAAACGAACAACCCAAACCACATCGATGACAAACAAAACTCAAAGTTGTTATCTAATTTTGTCCCCCAACACTAATTAATTAATTAATAATCATCATTTACCTGGTCTTTAGTCTAATAAAACATCAAAATGACCACTCGTTCAGTGATAGCAACGTAGTAGCAACGCGATAGCAACAATGGTCAAGAAACCTTGGCAACAGCGCTTCCTGAACAGGATCAACAAGTGTCCATAACCAGTAACCACACTTATTCGGAGAAATAACATTGATTAAAAGGGTGTGAAAGTGATTTAAGGTGTTGCAGAATTTTTAATAATGGAAAATAAGACTCGTAAGTGTTGCCAATTTATATTTATTTGGAAGTAAACAAACATTTTCATCAACGGTTAGGTCTTTTTAGACAACTTGCTAAATAAAATAGATTTCGATCCTATTGGTAGGGTTTTATCATCCTAAAACTACCCTGTCATCTGAATACAAAGAATTAACTCAGTATTACCCCGAAAAACACCCACATATTGTTTCGCATTCAATCAAAAAAGGTAGAAACCTAGTAAAATCCAATTAGTCTAGGAGGCAGTGACGATTTTCGGCACTTATTTTCCCAGTCAGACAACATGTGGGGTTAGTAATTCTAAGCAAAATTCATATATTTTTAGGGGGGGTTTTCCGATGGGTTGAGGCGCAAAATGCGTTAGAGCTTACGAATGCACGGTCCTTTTTTTTAGTGATAGAAATAGCTCTACTAATGAGAAGTATACTGAAGTTACTTGAAAAAATATTCCGGCTAATCTGTGAGTATGAATAATACGCCTGGCAAGTGAAAAATGATGATCCGAAAAATTTCAGCCAGACTCACTTTCCACTATCTGAGATAAGCCAAATTGCCATTTTCATATACTTTATGTTCTATTATAGTGAATGTGAAATATTTATGACTGGGAAAATAAGTGTTCTTGTATTTTTCATTGATCTTGTGAACCCATCCGAAAATTTTTGCGAAACTCAAATATTCTTGTTTTGTATCACCAAGAGAACAAACTATTTAGTATACACCAACTGGGAAAATGAGTGCTAAAAAATTTCACTGCCTCCTGGACTAAATGAGAAACCTATCAATCACCGAAAAATATTAAACCTCGGGTATAAAGCTCCATGAATACCCTCACAAATACCTGAATTAATTACTGAATTCATTCGAAATCTCAGTTACGTAGGTACTAAGGCAAAATTTGTACGTAACAATATTCACTGTCAAAGTTGCCATGGGCTAAATAAGAAACAATCTTCTTGCTCTGTTATTCTCAAATTAATACTTTCCTGACTTTCCTCTCGGACAGGTCAATTTTCATTTTTTGTGTGCTTCTGGAAAAATTAAAATTGACGTGTCCGAGAGAACAGTCAGAAAAGTGTTAATTTGAGAATAACAGGGCCAGAAAATTGTTTCTCATTTAGCCCATGGCAAATTTGACAGTGAATATCTCGAGAATTAATTATTCGACTTTCAGAAAAAATACGTAGTTGTGACGAGAATCAAAATACCTTTAAAACAAGGTAGGTACCACTCGACCCATCTCCCCTATCTGAAAAAAGGGGGTGAAAGTCACCCCACTCTGGGGGTGCATCCTATTGAACCTTTGAATACAAAATTGACCTTGAAATACCCCAAAACGCCTCTGTTTCGATATTCGTGAAACACCCTGTATAGATTGTAGCAATCACCTAGGTACCCATTTCTGGGCTTACCCAACAGAAGTGAACTTTAAATTTCATGTTACCAGTTAAAACATAGGATAGATTTTTGATTGCTTGCCTAACACTATGATAATATATATCGGGAAAAGTCAGTGAGAACAATAACTGGATGAAGAAAAAACTCGCAACTAAATATGTATAGCAAGTAGTTTTAAGCTTTACCATATTTTCCGTTGAAGAATCATTTTTTCAGTTAAGGGATTTTCCTGGAAAAATTCTGGCATTAAGTTTCTTACTGTATAAAACATGTCCAACTTTTGCTTGGCTGCCTCTATACTGAATTTATTATAAAGAATGACAAAACGGAGCAAATTAACATCTAAAAAATGTTATATTTGATTATTCAAAATTTTTAAATATTCATTGTTCTTACTTGGTTTTTCAGGAAAATGCTTTTGAGTTTCAGCCCATTTTCTCATAATATTAATAAAGTTATTTAGGTCTTCTTTGGTTTTGTTAAAATCCTTAAAAAGCTGTTGGTAAAATTTATTTTCATCGTTTTCAAATAGATTATTAGCCATTTTAACGTAGACTACTGATGCCTGGAAAGGAATCTTTAACAATTAGGTAGGTACCTACACTAAATTAATTCATTTTTATATTAGAATTACTGAAATGATTTTTTTACAGCAACAATAATTATTACCGCTATTAGTTTTCGATGGTAATAGCATCAAATTACGAATAATTTTGGATGAAAACGTGTTTTCTAAAAACTGCATGAGTTGATTTTTATATATTTTTTCTCCAATAATATAAAAATTAACGAATGCAGTTTTTCAAGGAAACACGCTTGAAAACGGACTGATAATAAATTTGTATTTGACTTTATACTGGATTGGAATTTAGGATATTATTAATCGGCCAAAAATTCATTTATCGCCGGCGAAAATGTTAGGACCAAGCGGCAAATAATAGAAGCCCCCTTTAATATTAAACTAGGTACTTTCATATTATATTTCTAGATCAATTAAAAAGATATTTGGACAATTCCCCGTTCTGTTATAAATCTTGGAATCTAGTATTTCAATCAACATTTATTTTCCTAAAATTTCCATAATAACCAAGAATTTCGTCATTTTGCAGTTTGGCCGGTCTCAAAGATTCATCCACGGTTAGTTTTTCCAGTTCAAGAAATCGATCCTTGTGAAATTCATACTGTTGATGCAGCATGTCTAAGATTTATTTAAAAATATTACTAGAGTTTTAACAGACTTTCAGAAAATGTCTATACCATTTAGTTCCTCTAAGGACTTCTCTTCACCTCCTATATCTCTGGGCATTCGCTTCTTGCCAAATAATTTAAATAAAATCTCAGTACCAGAATATATTTGGAGCTAAACAAAATACCAATTGATAAGTTTATTGAAGATATCATAAATTATAGTAACTCACTCGTTCTCTCAATTTTTTAATAAGAAGTGGTTTGACAACTGTGTTCACAAAGTTTTCCAAAAACGTCGGAAAGTTTACCATGTAGAGCGAAGCTATTCGATTGGAAAATACTTTCTGGAAATGATGAAAATAAAGCTTTAATCTGAGAAAAAAACAAATCTGTATTTAAATCCTAATTTAGATTTCCTCGAGAAAACATTATGATCAACGTTGAAGAAATATAGGTACCTACCTAAAAAGTTGACCAAGGAAACAATTTAAACAAAACATGAAATAAAAGTAAACTATGATAAATGGTATGGTTGAAAGCTCCTAAGACTCTCGAAAACTTTTGAGAATCCTAGTTTATTAAGAAAAACTTGCCTTAATTTCGTGGACCTTAATAAATACATAACTTCTTACTTCCAAAACAATCTGAGACTTCTTTAAAACCATAAGATTTGCCCTAGCAGCATGTCCCAATTTCGAGCAATCACAATCGCAAATATAATGAATACGATAAGACAAGTCGTTTTCGCCAATGATTGTTAATAAATGTATAAACTGGACTACTAGATGTTCATGAACAAAATATTTTGGATCTGCATACTCCGGATTCAATTTCTGGTAGATGATTCTAACATGTTCGTCTGCTAATTTTGGAAGTGGAACCATATACCTAAAAATTGTACTTCGGAAGTATACCTACATATAGATTTCGGTAATTACCCATTTCTGGGCTAACCTAACAGAAGTGAACTTGAAGTTTCATGTTACAGTGGCTGAAAACCAGGATAGAGTATTGATCGCTTACCACTATGATGTTGTTACGAAATTGCCTTGGGAGCCCGGCCGGATTCTAACAAATGTCGCGTAAACAATACGGAAAATTCTATTCAAGTATGGCGGTTTTTCTAGATGAACCCCCACTACCCTGTCTGCTCTGTATAGCGCGAAGTAGTAGCTTTAATATGTCAATTTTAATTGGATATTTGTCTTGTATGTTTCGATAAGTGAATTTTATAAAGTCAATTACCTAGTTTAATAAAATTTGTTACTGTCTGTGAAGTAAGTTTTAGTGAACCCCGGAATCCGTGACAATAGATATCGGGAAAAGTTGATGAGAACAATAACTGGATAAAGAAAAACCTCTCAATAAAACATAGAAAGTAGTTGCAACCTTTACCATATTTTTCGTTGAAAAATCATATCTTTAGTCAAGGACTTATTACGGAATAATTCCGGCATTAAGCTTCTTGCCGTATAGAACATGTCCAGCTTTTGTTTGGCTGCTTCTATACTGAATTTATTATACACAATGACAAAACGAAGCAAATTGACATCCAAAATTTTTATATTTAATTAAAAAATATCTATCCAACATTCATAGTTCTTACTTGGTTTTTCAGGAAAATGCTTTTGAGTTTCAGCCCATTTTCTCATTATATTAATAAAGCCATTTAGGTCTTCTTTGGTTTTGTTGAAATCCTTAAAAAGCTGTTGGTAAAATTTACTTTCATCGTATTCGAATAGATTATTAGCCATTTTAACGTAGACTGATGCCTGAAAAGGACTATAACAAATGGGTAGGTACATAGAATTAATTTGTTTTCGTAATATAATTAGTCAAATGAATGTTTTCAAAATAACAATAATAATTATTGTTAAGTACCGGTATTCGTTATCAATAGAATTATTTTGATATATTAACAAGAGGTAAGACCTTTTCATTGGTTTTCTCACTAAGATATTTCATGTCGGCTCCTGGTTATACAGGGCGTCCCAGCCGAGAGTGACCCACTTTAAATGCTTATAACTTTTAAACCAGGTGTGAAAGCTACCTACGGTTTGCGCCATTCGATTTTTCTTGATCTAAAGTTTTTTGTAGTAGGTTGCAAATTTTTTTGCCACCTTATACAGGGCGAGTAAAAATAAAATCCGTTTTTCAACATCGAAATTTTCCACTATTTTCAATGGAACACCCTGTATATCACAACGTCAAAAAAAAGTCATGGTCAAGATATCCCATGTACCAATAAACATCGTCCTCAAAACGAAATCCTGGTATTTTTTATTAGCGTATTCACAAAGCTTGGAAAGTAACTTTTCCGTACGATTTTTTTATTGCTAAAAATGAAGATATTTAAGATCGAATAAATGATTTATGTTATATATTATTTTATATTATGTGCTATTTTGTACCCATCATTATAAAATCTTTACGTATTGGAAACATTTTTTTTGATAAATAAGATGGACAAAAACACTCGTAGGAAAAATATTGTACCTAATTCTTGCGGAAAATGTCTTTTCCACCCTCGACGGCTTGCCCGAACTCCGCTCCGCGTCGTTCGTGCAACTGCCGTCTCGTGCGGAAAAGTACCACTTTCCGCACTTGTTAGGTAATAGCTAGCGAAGCGCCCGAGTTCCGGAAATTTCTTCCCGCAAGAGTTAGGAACTATATTTTTTCTACGAGCATACTAAAGCTGATGTAACGAGAAGTTTAATTTGAATAAAATGCGATTGTGCAGAAGGTAGAATTAAAAATGTATTGAAAGGTATTTATAAACAAAGGTAAAGGTATTAAAGGTAAAGGTATAGGTGTATCAATAATACAAACAATTCCATGTCACAATGATTATTTCAAACTCTTCCCGCACTGAGTGCGGGAAGAAATCTCTTCCCGCACTGGTGCGGGAAAAAAGTCTTCCCGCACAGCAAATCGTGCGGGAAGAGTTATTTCCCGCACGCTCGTAGAAAAATAACTATTGCCTACTGAGAGGTTAATGAAAAATGCTGTACTTATATGTTAGCCATTATGTTCCACGCATCTATGAATCGGTGAATGGTTGAATAAATTGTGTATAATTTACTGGGGAATTGCTTCAATGGCATTACGAATATTCCACTTGAGATCTTCCAGGCTACTGAAATCCGAATTGTGCGGCTGAAATAACATTATGCCTCTCCAAAAATGAAGTCATGCTACCCCTAACAATCCCTTCTACAACCTTTGCCAATGTGGGCAACAAGGAAATGGGCCTGTAGTTAGAAGGTGAGCCAGTATCATCTCCTTTAAACAGAGAGATGACTATGTCCTTTTTTAGAAGAGGGGGAAAGTTGCCCAATTCAATAGAGTTATGTATGGCGTCAGCAAGGACACCAATGGCAGCATTAGGAAGTTTATTGAATATTTTTATTGATATATCATCCCACCCCCTTGATTTCTTTCCTCCAATTTCTCCAAAAGTATGCTTCAGTTCGTCGATCGAAACTGGGCTAAAGAAGAAGGATTCAGGGACTGAGACGGATCCAAGAGCTGACAAGGGATCTACTCTCTGGTTGATCTTATTTGCAGAAAGCTTAGCAGCAATAGAGCAATAATAAATGTTTAATTCTTCAGCTGTAAGGTTGTTACTGACAGAGTGGGAGCCGACACGTTTTTTCCATCGCAGGTCATTCACAATAGTCCAGATCTCCTTCTGTTTGTTGCCAGCCGTTACAATGCGCGAATTGTAATAAGACCGCTTATAGCCTCCCCAATCACCCCACGATAGATGCTCCTGTAGTTTTTAAAATAGCTCATGAAAAAAGTGTTGCCCATAAAGAATTTCCTCGATGTATGTAGGCATCTCATATTCTTTGAAGCAATCTGCAAACCTTTTGTAACCCAGGGTTTACTGTTTTTTGATCTGAGATTTATAATCGGAAACGCAGAGGCGAAAATAGTTAGAAGGTTTCCATAGAATGTATCCAAAACAATGCCAGCACCCCCAGAGCCTTCTCATGCAAAATTGTCCAAACACATTGAAATTTTGTTCAGTAAACAAACGGCCACGCTTAAAACATTTCTTCTTTACTGTGCAAGATTCAAGTTTATACTTACCAATTACTGCCTCATGGTCTGACAAACCAGAAGCAGTCACAGAACATTCAAAATTAGTTAAATCTATATTAGAACACAAGTAGTCGATAGTTGTTAGTTGAGGCTGTGCTCCCTGTTATTCTAGTGTGAGATTGAACATGCATAACCAAATCGAAAGAGATAAGAAGGTTTCTGAGTGTACGAGTAGAATGCAAATTTGCTTGTTCACAATTTATGTTAAAGTCGCCGGTCAATATAATAGAGGCTGTAGGCGGAATTTCAGTGAATCACCTTATTAAGGAACATGTCAGAGTCAGAACCAGCTGGTGAACAATACGAACAGACAATAAACAGATTTAAAATATTAGAATACATAATAGACAACTCAAAGACCTTATCACTACATAAAAAGTTAAATTTATCAATGTCAACCAAGCCTCAAGAAAATCGTTCCGACGGAGAACCAAAGCACCACCATTATTGAAGACTTCTACCAGGGGCGGCTTCTCAATAAGTGCGCTCGTGCGCGCGCACTGCCTCCAAAAACCAAGCAAGAAAATAAAATTAAAATTTTGGAAAGAAAAGAAACTTCAATTAAAAAATACCTACCCAATTTTCTAAATTAGGATAAATATCTACTCATTTTTCTATTTTTAAATTCGCACGAACGGAACGAAAGCGCGCCCTGCGCCTGTCTTGTATATTTTTTTCTCCCGCTTGGTTGTGCTGGTGGTCCGGGTGGTCGGTGTGGAATCGTTCGGCGCTCTGGGTAAATGTGTTTTCTCGCTGTGCGATTGATCGGGAATATACGGTAAGTCGCCCGATGAAAGGGATGCGCCGTGCGCTATTTGAATACACACTTCCAATGTTGTTTCCACTCAATCGAGAATATTTCGATGTTTTTTCACCATTTTGGCGGTTTGACAACTCTGTTGTTCGCGGTTTTTTTTTAATTATAAATTTCAATATCAATTATGTATTATGGCTAGAATACAAACATTCAAGCCTCATTTAAATACATATATTTTTGTTTTCGATAATTTTTCCTAAAGTAAAAACAAAAAAATCAACATACAAAATAAATGTAAAACAGGACGTGGCACCTCCAAAAAATTTTCCAAGAGCGCACAACCACACTAGGTTGCCACTAGCCGCCACTGACTTCTACAATATTTCGAGATAAAAGAGTAATTTGAGAAAAAAATTGGTTCCTGTTCTTTGAGCCAGTGCTCAGTCAAAAGAATTATTTGTGGATAACTGACGCTTTCAACAAGAAACTCAAATTCATTAATTTAAGGTCTAATTCACTGAATGTTCAATAGAAGAATACCCATTGACAGGTTGTCTACTGACCTAAAAAAGTCTGTCACCAGGAGGTGCGAGTCCGAGACTCATGGAGCGCAGGATTTTGGGAGCTTACATTAGAGTGTGAAGATATAGGTACTGCTCTTAAGACTATCTTACTTTGAACGAAATGAGTGATTATGTGATGATAGAGTAACTTACACATAGAGCCAATAGAATGACGAAAGTCGAAAACATCGCAAACATCACTAATCAATCTAATTGATGCATTCTTCTCACGGACAAAATCTTCAACAAAGCATACAATATTAAAAAACTTATTCCTAGGAAAATATGTAAAATTACACTTAAAACATACAATCAGGTTAGTAAACCTACCAATTGCCAGAAGTTTTTTTAAACTAAAGTACCCGATGAAGGTTTTATTTAGGTCCAAGCACAAAACAACAGTGTCATTCACAGAGTATCCACTGGACAAAGAAAAGAGTGCCCTGATCAAACCAGAAACATTAGATTGACTACCCACATATCCAAACGTGTCATACAGTTAGCCAGAAAAAAGCTTAGCAAGTGTAGAGGAATAATTCCTGGCACTTGCGTCACCACATATGAGTATTTTTTTCTTGATTTGCGTTTTAGGACAAATATCTTGTCGAGTCGCAGCGCAGGTGGCAAAGGCTGGAACCAGTGCAGGAGGACTGGTTGGTGTCGAAGAATGCTGCGGCCCAAAAGAGTTAACGTCCAATTCTTCTACCGCTAAGAAAAGATCCGCCCTTTCAGTCTGCGTTGATTTAGGAACTTGAATTCTCAGCAAGCTGTGCAGGAGTAAAGCCTCGTTCAATATATCGTCATTTACATACGTAACAGTAGCAGCGTCTTTAAAGCAAGTCGATGTTTGGGTAGCTATAGCAGCCCTTCCCCCGATATCAGATTCCGATGCAGAACAGTCTCCAGCAACATCATCAGTATTAGTATCACTGATAACAGTCTGAGACTCAATACTTCTAAGAAAAAGTATTGTCTGAGTACTATAGCATCACATTTAGTACTAGAGGATTTAGAGCATACTGGAGAATCATGATAACCACGAAGCTTTTGCTGGAGCTCAATAGTCAAAGCTTTATATTTTCGAAGTTCCGCTTTATAGTATTCTTCCATGTCAAATACCTCATCCTCGAAGGCAACTGAGTGCCTTTTAGTCTTCTCGGCCTGTCCTTTCAGAAGCTCCAGATTACACTGTAGCTCGGCGTTTTCCGTTTCAAGCTTTTGCAAAGTTTGACTGTCCCTATCATTGGTGCCTAGTTGGAAGCAGGTGTTTCAACAATAGATTTTTTGCTGCTTAATATGAATCATGTGCTTTTTCCTAGACCAACCTGATTTGTGTACAATTATGTGACACACAACAC